TGACCCAGAGGGCAAGAGGACCCGGAGCCGGCGGGCCCCTCCGCAGGAGTGCATCGGGCCCCCGGAGACCAGGACACTTTTTTGGTCTGCGGGTCGGGAGCGGGCCCCTTCCGGTCAAGAGCTAAACGGGACGCGGGTATAGTCCTAATTGGGGAGACAGGGCGCGGGCGGGCGGGGCCTCAGGCGGCCGGAGGGCTCAGAAAACAGGCGGTGCCGCAGATCTTGCACAGGACAAGGTACGCCATGGACTGGAGCAGGGGGCGCGGTCCCAGAGGGAAAGTGGAGACCAGGACACAGATAGATCAGGGCACGGAAAACCATGGAACAACTGCATCTTTTCCTGCAAAGTCACGTGTTTCAGCGCCCGTGCATGTTTTGTCTGCTGCACTGCAGGAGGTTCGGGTTCGTGTCCGGGTTTAGGGGTGTCTTGCAGCCTTTTGGGGCCTGTGTCCGGGTTTATTATTGAAATGCTGCAGTGCAGTACTTTTTTCGTGCCGCCGTTTGGGACACTGTGTTTCGAGGGATGTTGGGTGTCCGGGTTTAGCGTGTCCAGGTCTGCGGTGCTCTGAGTGCAGGGATTGAAGTCAAGCAGTGGCGAAGCGTCCTGGCTCGCCTATAGCGCATACCAAACAGTGTTCTAAGAACCTTTTCTGGTTTCCACGGAATGTTCTTGGAACATTTCTGGCGGAGTATGTCTTGTTTTCATCACATTTGATTCTGTTCTAGAAGCATTGTTTTTGTACTTAGAACATTGTTGGGTTCTGAGAACATTTCCTAGTAGGACTATCGGAATGCCGGGACGGTCGGTCCCTGCTCAAAGAAGTGCCCCTGGCCCAAGATGCCCCCAGCTTTTCGCGCCATTTCGGAGCCCCTGGGGCCCTCTGGGCCTCGCGAGGGGTGCCCTGGAGGCCGTCGGGGCCACCCCGAGAATCCTGGGGATACCTTGGGCCAGGGGTACTTCTGGCAGAACCCGCAGGAGTGCGGGATGGTGTGCAACATCGCCTGCGTCTTCTGCCCGCCCTGCGGCGGCGGCGCTGCCCGGCCGGAGGCGGCGGCGCGGCGCCTCCGGCGGAGCAGCCTCGTGGTGCCGGGCGCCCCGGCCCCGCGCGCGGACAGCAGCGATCAGCCAGGGGGCTGCTGCGGGCTGTCCTCAAGGGAGGAAGAACAAGCCGGACCAGACAATTGCCGTTTACTACACGGCCCTGGGCGTTTATTAAACAGCCCTGCCCTGTTCGATTCCTTCTTCGGGCACGTGTACTAAAGGCCTCGCGTCTCGGGGTTATATCGGAGTGGATCTCCTGCCCTCTGTGTCCGTGGCCCGAAGTGTGTTCGGCTGCACGCGAGAGCGACCTGTCGCCGGAGGGACCTCTGGTGCGGGCGCACCGGGGTCCCCAGCTGGCGGAACTCGGGGGCAACGATAGGGGGGGATCAGCACAGGGGGGGATGCATCGACCCCCGATCCCCCATTGATCGCCGATAGGGGCCCGATAGCCCCAACCTTCACAGGAAGGTTCGGACTCACTGTCGGGGCCTATCGCCGATCTATCGTGGATTTATCGCCGATTTCAGGTCGATGCATCCCCCCTATGCCAGTCCCCCCCCGATCGTTGCCCCTCAGGAACGCGATGCGAGGGCACCGGCTTGCGCGCTCGGGTTGGGCACCCCCGCGCCCCCGCAGGTTGCGCAGCCACGGTATCTCTTGCCCACAGGGTCACCCTTCCGTGCAGCCGAGGTGTCCCCAGGAGCCCTGTGGAGGCTCCCACGGCCTGCAGTCTGCAGTCCAGGCCTTCGGGATGGGGTCGGAGCAGACGGTGTCGGACGATCGCGTCGCATCGCCGACGCATCGGCGATGCGGCTCGATGTGGAGCCCGATTTCCTCTACAGCCGGACCGAGGTATAAGATCGAGGTCGGTTCGGGGAGGGTACCCTGGTGTTCTTCGTGTTTGTTGGACGTTCTTTTGCATCCTGGGGAGGGGGCCCTTGGGTGTCCTGTTTGGTTTGGCCAGCGGGGGGTCTCATGTTCTTGAAGGAGGTTCTTCAGGCCTAGTTTCGACTGTACTCCGACGTCGCCGATGCATCGGCGATGCGGCGCGATCCTCTGACCCCATCTACTCGGATCCCTCTTGGGATGCTTCTACCACGACGGCGACGATGACGACGACAAAGGCGGCGTCGGCGGCGACGACGCCGACGTGGGGCAGAGTCCTCAGGGATGCTTCATGGGGGCTCTTCGGAGCGCGCTCGCACGCCTCTGGGGGGCAGTTTTGGGCCATCTTGGGAGCATCTCTGGGGCCTCTTGGGGGCATCTTGGGGGCCTCTTGGGGGCCTCTTGGAGCTTCTTGGGGGGCCTCTTGGGGTCCTCTGGCGGCTGATTGAGGGCCTCTCGGGGGCCTCCTGGGAGCTGCTCGGGGCCGAGGGCTCGAATTTCCGTTCGAGCTCCTGTGTGGGCACCTTGTTGGGGCTTTTTTGGGGGCTTCTCAGGCCGAATTCGAGGGCTCCAGTGCCGTCTTGGGGCCGTCTTGAGTCGTTTCGGGGGCGTCTGGGGAACCTGTTGGGGACCTCTTGCGGCGCTCTTGGTGGCATCTCGGGCCGTCTTGGTTCTTTGGGACTCCGAAAAGTCGAGAACGCCAGAATCTGGCAAAATCCGAAACAATCATTGAATTTTGCCTGTTGGGGCCCTCTTGGTGTGCTCTTGGAGGTCTCTTCGAGCGTGCCAAGCCTCTTGGGCCGTCAGGAGGCCATCTTTGGCGTCTTGGACCGATCGCTCGTATTCGGGACCCTCTTGGACCGTCTTGGGGGCCTCTTGGGGCACTCTTGGGCCGTCTTGGGGCCTTTTTGGGCCCTGGGACCCCCCAGGGGAGGTAGAGCGGGACCCCCCCCCCCGTCTCCCCGCCGGCGGGGAAGGGATCAAGGGCAAAGGCTGCCCTTCGACTCAACAGCGACATTGACTGTATTAGTTTGGAATGGCGAGCTCGAGGAGGAGGGCTCAGGGGAAGGAGGGGACAGCTGCGACGGGCGCAGGAGAACTGTGTGACGCGCTTGAGGAAGGGGCAGGACAGTGGCGACGACGACGATGACCACTACGACGACGACGACGACGACGACGACGAGAACGGAGCCAACGGAACAGCGTCTCACACACGCCGACAGGCTCGGTGGACTTCTGTGGAGTTCCCATGGCCTGCAGGTCTCCCGGGACACCTCTCGGGCCAGGGGCTCCTGCAGCGGCACCCGATCGGCCCAGCTGCGCACGCGAGGGGCGCGAGAGCAGCTCGCCACGGCGCAAGCGGGCCCCGAGGGAGTCGGGCCCCCAGGGCAGCCACTGGCCGTGCCTCTTCGGCCCCGCGGGGCCCTCCGCGGGCCCCGGGGGCCGTCTGCAAGCGACTCGGGCCGTCTTTCTCCTCCTCCTCCTCCTCCTCCTCCTCCTCCTCCTCCCTCCTCCTCCTCCTCTCCGCCTCCTCCTGCTTCTCCTCCTCCCCCTCCTCCTCCTCCTCCTCCTGCTCCTCCTCCTCCTCCTCCTCCTGCTCCTCCTCCTCCTCCTCCTCCTCCTCCTCCTCCTCCTCCTCCTCGAGGGGTGGAATATCGAGCCCCGATCGGCGATGAGCGGGGCGGCTGGGGGGGGTCGATGCACTCCCTCCCGAGCGGGGACGGGGGGACGGCCTGTGGGTGCAGGGCGCGCCTCCCTCGGGGCCCGCCCGCTCCGTGCCGCGCAGCAGCACCCCGGCTCCGGTGCCGGGGGCGGAGGGGCCGGCGGAGGGTGCGGCGAAGGGGCCGGCGGCGTGCATAGAGGACATCGTCGTGCTGCCCGAGATGGAGGCGCACCTGCAGCTGACCAGCGAGTTCGCGAGGATGATGAGGTCGTTCGACCAGTGGAAGAGCTACCAGAATCGGGCCGGACGAGAGGGGGGGGTAGGGAAAGGGGGGGTTACGAAATCTGTTGCTTGCAGCTGGTTTCGGCCCCACCGAGGGCCCATTCCTCGATACAGAGCCGCCTCCGGCGCCGGGAGGCGCCGGGAAAAATCAGCTACGCGAGCTGATTCTCAACCCCCCCTCTTTCCTTTCCCCCCTTTCGCCTGGCCCGACAGAAGGAACTGCCGGGACGTGACGAGAGTCCTTGCCAGGACAATTCGAACGAGTCGTCGGGGTGGTGCAGCAAGTATTGGCGTCGCTTCAGATATTGTGTACGCAATCCAATAACAGCGTATTTTGAGTCCAGGCGGGATTGTTGGGGTCGTGAATTCGACGAGTTGAGACATGAATTAGAGATGAAGTATGAAATTTATATGGCCAACCTGCAGAGTAATACAATGGCAATGAGTGGCCACGCGTTTGTGGTTTTTGAGAAGGATGAGCACCGGAATTTTATGCTTGAGCCAGTGCCAGTCTTCAAGAATCAGAAGAACTTCAAATTCGGCATAGTGCCGTTCAGCTCCGTGACCCTTGCATGCCGCAGCGCGCCCCATCCTGAAGACATTTGGTGGGACAATCTGCACAAAGCAGACATCGTTTGGCGGGGCGTCATCAACTACATAACCCTGGTCGTTTTCACAGCCGTCGTGGTGTTCCTGATCGCCATCGCAGACAAGCTTTAAGTCGGGCCTGTCCCTCTACAGGGGGAATATTCAAAAATAGTCAAAAAATTGTCTGGGGACTATTTTTTGCATATTGTTTGACCGTGGTGGATTAGTTTGAGTAGTTTTTATTTTTCGCCCAAAATCACCCTGTAGGGGGACACGCCCGACTTAAGACAAGCTGGACAAGCTGGACACGTTCGCCTGCCAGCACCTCCGCTCGAGCCACGCGCTCCAGGAGTTCGTGTGCGGCGTCTCCGCCTGGATGAAGCGGAACGTGCTGGCGTTCCACCAGCTGCCCTACGTGGTCCTCGTGATGTTTAACTCACTGGTCGTCCCTTGCTGGATCGAGGCCCTCGCAGGGGAGCCAGTGCATCGCGCTGTACACGGGCGTTGTGGTGCACGCGTGTATGCTGTGGCGTGCGCGCACGGTGCGGTGCACGGGGCTGCTGCAGTGCGCACAAGCGTCGCGGTGTCCACAGGCGATGTGGCGCACGCAGGCGTTGTGGAATGCGCTGGCGCTGTGGTGCACGGGGTTGCTGTGGTGTACACTCAGGAGGGGAACAACACACAGACACAAGTAATCGTCGATTCCCAGAAGATATGGGACAATATGGGAAGTGGGGAGGAAGTCAAACACCCAGAAAGTATTGGAAACTATGGGGAATATTGTTATTTGTATGTATTTGGTTGTGTGTCCCAGGGCCCCTTCATACACAGGCGTCGTGGTGTACGCAAGCTTTGTGGTGAAGCATCACGATGCCAAGGGAGGAGGAGGGGCAGGACGCTGCGGAGGCGGAGGGCGCGCTCGGCCACGACCGCTGTCGAGGCCTCCCCCGCGAGAGCCCAGGGGACGAGCTCCGAGGGCTTCGTCGGTCTGCGGCCAGCCCCGCGAAAGACGGAGAAGGAGGACGAGGAAGAGAAGAAAAACAAAGAGGAGGAGGAGGGAGGAGGACGAGGAGGAGGAGGATGAGGAGGAGGAGGAGGAGGAGGAGGAGGAGGAGGGAGGATGAGGACGAGGATAAGAAGGATGAGGACGAGGAGGAGGAGTAGGAGAAGGAGGAAGAGGAGGAGGAGGAGGAGGAGGATTAAGAGGAGAGGACGAGGAAGTGGAGGAGGAGGAGGACGGGGAGCAGCAGGGGCAGGAGGTAGGGCCCGCTGGAGCGAACGGGCCCTCTGCATCGCAGGCGGCCGTTCCCGGTCGGTGCCCTGCGGTTCTGGCGGCGGCGACGGGGCGAGGACGAAAGGAAGGGGAGGAGGAAGTGGAAAGGGCAGGCGGTGAGGAGGAGGAGGAGGAGGAGGAGGAGGAGGATGAGGAGGAGTAGGAGGAGGAGGAGGAGGAGGAGGAGGAGGAGGAGGAGGATAAGGCGGAGGAGGACGAGGAGGAGGAGGAGGAGGAGGCGGAGGGGGAGGAGGCGGAGGGGGAGGGGGGGAGGGGGAGGGGGAGGGGAGGGGGAGGGGGAGGGGGAGGGGGAGGGGGAGGGGGAGGGGGGGGGGGAGGGGGAGGGGGAGGGGAGGGGGAGGGGGAGGGGGAGGGGGGGAGGAGGAGGAGGAGAGGAGGGGGGGAGGAGAGGAGGAGGAGGAGGAGGGAGGAGGAGGAGGAGGAGGAGGAGGACAAGGAGGACGAGGAGGACGAGGAGGACGAGGAGGACGAGGAGGGAGGAGGAGGAGGAGGAGGAGGAGGAGGAGGAGGAGGAGGAGGAGGGGAGGAGGAGGAGGAGGAGGAGGAGGAGGCGGAGGAGGGAGGAGGAGGAATAGGAGGATGAGGAGGAGGAATAAGAGGAGAGGAGGAGGAGGAGGAGGAGGAGGAGGAGGAGGAGGAGGAGGAGAAGGAAGGGAAGGTGAATGACGAATCCTGAGGGCCTCCGCGGTCTGTGGCGAGCCCCGCAAAAAAAAGCTCCGCCTGTCATTTGGCAGTTCTTGTTGTGGCCGTTTTTCAGATAAGAGGCTTGCACCATTCTGTCATTCGGTCGCCTTTGGCGCACTGGTGCTCACAAGCGCAACGTGGTGCTCGCAAGCTTCTATTGTGCCCGCTGGCACGCTTGGCGCTGTGGTGTACACACGCGTTCTCATGCACGGAGGGATTGTGGTGTGCGCCGTGGTGTACACAAGCATTGTGGTGCACGCAGGCACTGTGGTGTGCACAGGCACTGTTGCGCGCGCGGCTGCTGCAGTGTTCACAGACACTGCGGTGAACACAGGTGGTGCGCGCGGCTGCTGTGATGTACGGAGTCTCTGTGGTGTACGCAGGCGGCGCTGTGTTGCACTCAGGAATTGGGCATTGTCGTGTGCACAGGGACTGGCACGTTGGCATTGGGCACTGTCGTGTACACGGGGCCTGTGATTGGTTGATGTGTTGGTGGCGCGGACCCACCCTGGCGGGTGCACGCTGCAGCCGCCGTTACCATTACCCCCCCGACCGCGCCCCCCCCCGGGCTAACACGTGTCACTCCCAATGGATGAGCGAACGATCTTCTCTGACCCGAGGAGACGCATTGAGGCGGCGTTGCGCATCCGACGCCGACGACGGCCGACGGCGGCGATGATGGCAACGGCCCGGCGCCGACGGCGACGGCGACGCCGACGTCAACGATGGCGCCAACGACGACGACGACGACGATTGCGACGGCCGCGACGGCGGCGACGACAAGAAAACGCACGTATAGGTGTCTGGCTTCATCCCACGTGCGGGCTGGCATTATGGTTGTGATACGCGCGCGCCCCGTGACCCTCCACCAAGTCTCACTGGTCTCGCTGGTCTCGCAGGTCCCATAAGTCCAAAAGGTCCCACAGGTCCCGGAGGTCTCGCAGGTCTCGCAAGTCTGGCAGGTCCCGCTGGTCTCTCAGGTCCCACGGCTTTCGCATGTCCCACAGGTCCCACAGTTCCAACAGGTCTTGATGGTCCCGCATGTCCCGCAGGTCCCACAGGTCTTTCATGACACCTTTGCTGCTATCGGGGTGCTTTGCTAGGGTAAGTTTGGGATTTCTGTGCGCGCGTAATTGCTTGAGCTGCGCGCAGTCCCGAATGGGCCATGAGCGCGAATGGGAGACGCTGCCCCGTAAATGAGGAATTTCTCCCGCCCTGGCTTATTTATGTGAAGTTGCGGGGGCAGTGGTCTCCATCGTGGTCACTGAAAAGCCCGTCATCGTTCTTGCCGAAGGTTTCCCGGGAGTTGCATCTGCATCTCTCTTCTTTGTTGTTGTTTTTGTGGAGGACTTCGTTTGTCCCATCGCGTCAGCAATCCATGTAGAATCCACGTCGAACCTGCGTCGAACACACGTCGGAACACAAGAACAGGCAGCCATTTACAGGACAGGCAAGGTGCCCCGAGGTTGTAAAGCAATTTCTTTCTCTCCTCCACGCTCCCTTCTCCCTGCTTCATCCCAGTGTGAGGCCATGCAGAGGGCGAGGAGCCCTTTCCGCCGCAGCTTCGTCGACCTGAAGGGGATATCCACGAATCTGCAGCTGCTTCTGTTCAGCAAGCTCGTCATGCCGTTTGTGTCATTGGTGCTGACAGGGGAAGTGTGATAGTTTCGAGCTCCAGTGTTGAGGTTGTCATGTGCTTTCGCTGATGTTCGATGGATTCCCAGCCTCGGGATGTGCTCCAGCGGCTGCGCCTCGCCGGGAGGCGTCTGGGGTGACCAGATTGTCCAGAACGGCCGCCAGAGACTTGAGTGATGATCCGACCCCCAGACGAGGATGATCATTATTGAGGGGACAGGTCTTCTCTTAAGGCGTCGGGGCTTCTCAGACGCCCTCTGGCCTGTGCGAAGCCCCTGTCCTCAACCAGGCGATTGCTGGCCAGGACCTTGAGCGTACCACCTGGACAGAACAAATCATGGAGGCTGTTTCGACCCAGGGCTGCAGCTGTCTCGGGCGCGCCAGCGTCCTGGTTTGAGTGGCCCTGGGGCATCGGGGACGGGCGGTTGTGGGGAACTGGGGGGCGGGCGGAAGGATGTGCACTGAGGCCCACGACCGTGAAGGGTACGACCACACTCGCATGCAACCGAAAAACAGAAACATGAGCTAGGCGGAGAGGTGAAGGTCGAGCTCATCCTCAACGACCCCCTCGTTCCTCCGCCTCTCCTCCACTGCCCTCCCCAGCCCCATGGCCTCGTCAAGATGTGCAGGGAAGGGCTGGTGGGGCGGGGGGGGGGGCCCGCGGGTGGGGTGGGAGGGGGTTCTGGGAGGTGCTAGCCGACCTGGTCGTGTTCCAGACCAGGGGCCCGACGGAGGTGCCGGTGGACCTCCACGACGTGGAGGGCATTATCGAGGAACCCGCCTACAACGTGGTCGGGGAGGTCGGCAGCTTCTACAGCAAGGGAGGCGTAGGGCTCGAGTTGTTGCCGGCAGCTCGGGGCTGCCGCCGCGTCGTTTTCGGGCGGGCGTCGATGGGGATGTGATAGACCCAAGCGGGTCGAGGATCGCAGGGAAGTCGAAAGGGGCCTTGCGAGAGAGAGGGGTAGATGAGCCGTGCACGTCAGAGGTGCATTGGCAGAGAATGGTGAGATGCGCTCCACCGCCGTTGGCGTCGTCGAGCAGCGAGGCGTCTCGTGCGAAGCGAGAGCGAGGCGGAGCAGTGAGACGGCAGGGGCGTGGCCCGAAAGAAGCCTTCAACGGCTTCTGAATTGCCACTGCGGGCCGCGAAGGTGAACAGAAGGAGCTGCACGGCAGACTTCAGGCGTCGCTGCGCCTGTCTCTGTCGAGGCCGTGGCTCCCTTCACGGCCACCTGTCACTGCAGCTGGAGCCGTGCGAGCAACAAATTACCCTGTGACGTACCCAGTCCTTTCTATACGTGTGGCGAGTATATTCAGGACCATTCAATGCTGACTGGCATTCTGGAGGGCCCGCAGTGCGCAAGAAGAGCACCCAGCAGCGATTTCAGAGGAGCGCAGCAAGAAGAGGAACGGCAAATATACACAATGGAAACGCAGGGGCGTTGAAAGAAACGCGCCCAACAAGTGAACACGAAAGGGCGCGGCGGCGATGGCTAAAACAGAACATCAGTTTAATTCAGCAACGCGCTGCGCTGAGCGGGGCAAATGCATGAGGTGCATGACGGGGGTCGCGACAGTTGCGCAGATCGCCCCTGGGGGCGGCGAGGTCGCGAGGTAGTCCGCGTATGACGTACCTCCGTTGGTTTTCCAGGAGCCACCAAAGTGGCGACAGTTGCGCGCATCGCAAACCCCCAGGGGGCGGCGAGGTCCCAAGGTGGTCCGCGTATGACATACCTCCGCTGGGCCTTCCAGGAGCCCACGCAAGTGGCGACAGTTGCGCACATCGTCAGCCCCCCAAGGGGGCGGTCGGGGGCGGAGCGTCGTCGATGTCGTCGCCGTCGTCGTCGCCAAGACCATGCTTGGGCGCAGCCGTGCCTCATGCGCTGGCCGCCTTTGGAGCGCGTTTCTTGTTCGTTGCGCCAGTCCGAGGAATCGCGGCCTTCGCAATGGAAACAATACTACCGCTTGAGAGTGCATGCGCACGATTGTTTTGGGTCTGAGCAGCGCCCAATTCCGCCCTGAAGAGCCAGGACCGTCTGCCCGTGCGTACAAGAAATCCAACATTGGTAATTGCCCGCTGCGTGGCCCATCCAGAGAAATCATGTGAACCAAGCCACTCAGGAGGCGCACGTTGAACTGCCCAGCTCTGGAGAACGGCACCCGCGACATGTGTCTTGCTGACCAGTCCCAAAAAATTCAAAAAGGCATTGTTGAACGGACGGTGGAGAATCCGTCCCCCCTCCGGGCAGCGAGCCGCAACCCTCGCCCAGTATGCTAGGTGAGTCTCATCAGTTCGGATAGTGAACGAGCTCGGCATAAACGTCGACCTCTGATGGTTGATCACAATGCCTTGCGGCTGCTCGAACTCGAGGAACTTGGGGACGATGCTGTTTTGGATGATGAGCAGCATGGTGATTTCACTTTCGTAGTTGATGACCGCTTTCGTTCCGACAGTTCCTTGTGTGAGCTCCGCGTTGAAGATCCGTGTTGGCAGGGGTGCAGGTCTCTGCGCGGCGCGGCCGCGCAGGTCATCCGAACAATAGTTCTTCACACACACACACATCAGCCTGATGACCTGCGTGACACTCGCCCGCAGCTTGTATTCAGCGTCATCTTTGACCCCCTCTGGGAAGCCAGCTGGCTTGGGCGCTTCACCGCCCACGTGGAGTACCTGCTCAAGTTAAAGTAAGTTGCCAGCGCCAGTGACTGTCATCACCACCCGCATAGCAGCACCCTCCATAGAAGACGACATATCAAAAATAACAAATGTCGTACCAGTTCCACAACTGGCCGCGGGCCATTGTGTAGCTTGGCCGTACTCGGCGATCGCGGTGGATATTACCATTGGCGTTGATGGGTACGTCCTGTCGAACAAGGGCGCCGCTGCCCACGGCGGCGCCGCTCCCCAGTCCGACTCTAGGTGCCCGACGGTCTTGTTAAGAGGAGCCTTTGAAGGCGTCGTAGTCATTGCAGCATCTTCACCGATGAGGGCTCGCAACTGTGCCTCCACCTGTGCTGCCATTGGCTTGGGTCGATCGCGGTCCACTCTGTTTGGCAAGCGGTGGACCTTCTTCAAAATGATCGGCTCCTTGTCACGGTTGCCCTTGCGGGTCCTGGCTTTTGGCTCGCGATGAGCCATAGGGTTGCCTCCCGTCGGTGGTCGGCCTGAAAGTTGCGACGCCCCCCACAGTTGCTGGACCACCTTCGGTAGTTGAGAAACCTGATCTGCGAGCCCAACCTGCTGTCCCCGTGCACGCTGCGCTCGCACACCGCCTTTTCCCAGGAGAGCGTCCTCCAACGAGCGGCTGTTTCTCCTGCTAGTAAGCGGACTGTACATTCTTGTCAACCCATCCAGGCTGCATCTCCATGAGGTCGGCGTCGGCGAAGACAGTGAGCTCATCGGGGCCGATCGGACGGCCCGCCAATCCGGCGGTTCATGTGGTGTGCTCTGCCTTGGTACGGGGTACCATCCCCTCTTCGCCACGCTGGAGGCGTACACCCAAGAGGACGAAGTTGACGATGACGACGAGGAGAGAAGAGGGAGAGGAGGAGGGAGGAAGAGATCACGCGGGGCACTGCTGCTGATTCGAAGCGAGGACCCAACACCAAAGGGTGGTTGGGAAACAGCAGCGCGAGTGGATCACGGGGCGTCCGCGCATGATCGGGATTTTGATGCAAAGTGCATTATGTACCGTTGCTCGCAAGAGACGGCGGGGGGCTGTTGGCATCGCGCGCAGCAGGAGACATGCCGCCCGCCCCCCGTCGTCCCCGTCAAGAGCCATGCGAAGTGATCACGGGGCGTCCGCACCTGCTCCGGGTGTTGGTGGAATGGTTGGTTTTGTTGGCAAGGGGTGGTCCGAGGTGTGCTGGCCTTGCGCACGGCAGGTAAGGTAATGACACCCCCGCAGCCCCCGCCATACGCAAATGTGAAGGCATCGCGGGTCGGGGGAGGCATTGGCCCGGGTTTCCTCCCTCGTCGGATGGGAGAGGGGGTGCAGGTTCAGAAGAAGCAGTGTGACAGGCTCGTCCCCGGAGGGGGAGGACGGGGTGTTATGTTGGAGGAGGGAAGAAACATCTCGTACCTACACACAGAGGGCTGGTGGGAGTCAACTCCACGATTTCTCCATTCGACGGCGAGCTGGGGGAGAAATGGGATGGACGAGTTCTTCTAAGAATGCGGCAGGGCTCCGCTGAAGCCCCCCTGGCTTTCTGACAAGCTTTCTGTGTCTTCCGGAAAGGCTCATAAAACTTCCCGCGAGGCCGGAAGACTTCCGAGCCTAAGGCCAGCCTCTAGTCACTTCCCCCCCTGTGTCGGCCGCCGAGTGTTGCTGGGCGTCGGTAGTCAAAGAGGCCCCCTAACATATAGTTGCGTGTCTATTCCTTGCGGGGATATCAAAAGCCTGCTGCGCTTACGCCTCCCCGATGCCTCACCTACACGCTCACCTGCGCGTTCGTGAGCCCCGCGATCTCCGTGCTGCAGCTCGGGCGCTGGTTCTGCGCCTGGTGGTTCAGCCTGCCCTGGCGCGGGCGGACCGACGCCGACCTTCGGGAGGCCAAGGCTCGATGGCGAGCCCAGGGGGGTAAGCGGCAGGGGGCGGGCCTCAGAAGGCCTCGGGCCTTGGAGGAGGCCTGCCCCCCTCGCTTTCCCCCACGCGCTCGCCGCCGAGAGGAGCCGTACAGCTTTGCATACGGGTATTGGTACGGGTGGTCCCTCCCGGCGGCGTGCCGAGGGGGGGAGGTGCAGGAGTTGCGGGTTCGGTGCTCGAGGTGTTCCGGCATGTTGGCCAGTCCCCGGGGGATTTGCAGCCTCAGGATGCGTTCCAGCGGCTGCTCTTCGCCGAGAGGCGTCCAGGGGTGCCCAGATAGTCCCGAACGGCCGCTGGAGACATCCGACTTGGGATCCGAAAGCCAGACGACGATGATCTTCATTGAGGGTGCAGGCCGTCTGGGAGGGTGGCGGGGCTTCTCAGAAGCCCCATGGCCTTTGGGAAGTTTTTCTAGGGGTCCCGAATCGGTGCGGTGACAGACCGAGCCGTGACCGCGGCATCCCCACAGACCTCACCGCACGGTCCGTCACCGCCGCACGGTTTTGGGGACCCATGGAGAGGCCCCACAGTCCCCCGAGACGTCCCCGGGGAGAACGGCCCCATTCCCAAAGCCGCGCGGTCGCCCCGAACCCCCGCTGACTCCCCACAGAGTATGGCCACCGCACCGTGTGTGGGCCCGGGCTGGGCCCAAGCGCTGTTTTGCTGGACTTCGGCTGTGTTTTGTTTTCCGTCTTGGCATGGAGGTACAGGAAAACAGGCAGAGCAAAACGAAACACAACACGAGCAACCAAAACGAAAAACAACGCTTAGGTCCAGCCCTGGAGTGGGCCCCTGGTCTGTGGCTTCGGAGAAGGCCTGGGCAGCTGCCCGGAATGACTGAGGCCTTCCGAGCTTGCCGGGATGGCCGCACCCGCTGCCTCTTCCCCCCTGGGCGCGCCGCTGGCGCTCAGCATCTTTGGCATCGGGCTGGTCACGTCCACCGTGCTGCCTGCCATGGCTCCGGTGACGTTCATCACCTTCGGCCTCAAGCACCACGTGGATTTTTGGTTGGCCCAAAAAGGGGTCCAGCTGAAAGGGGGTGGTGCAATATATTTGGTGCAATAGATCTGTGGGGATGCGACAGATGTGGGAGCGTGCAATGCATTCTGGTGTGCAAGTTTTATTGATGGCTTTTCGCGTGCAACACATTAGTTGCAACATAATGCAATCCAGTTTTCTGGCTCAACACATTTGCAATACGATTGTCCCACATCTATTGCACGACTCCCTTTCAGCTGGACCTCCTCTTCGGGTCAACCAAAGGACTCCATCCTCCTGACGAAGCTGTACGCGTTCAGAGACGATAACACTGTGACCTTGGGAGACTACCCACCACATGTCGCCCACCACATGTACAGCACCGTGGCATGGACGATGATGATCCAAGCCGCTGGCGCTGTCCTCTTCATGACGGTGGGAGCCTCGCCCGAAGAGCGTTTCAACAGTGTCTGGATATGGTCGTTGGCCAAGCTGCTCGTGGCCTTGGGCGCCGTCTTGCTCCCGCTGAGCTTCTGGAATGCGTGGCAGGTCGACAAGAAGGAGAACTTTCCCGACCAGCCCGAGGATTGGGGGGCCGCCGTGATTTCTTGGACTGGCACCCTCACGTCGAGGAGGCCAGACCGTCTTGCACTGCCCCTCGATGTGAATCGGGGGATCCCACGGCATGGATCTGGGAATGATCGAGGTGCTTGCGGCGAGTCCGGCCACCGTGCAAGCGTGGCAGCGCAGCAGGGAAGAGGTTGAGATGAAGAGCCGCTCCTTTTCCGTGTCCTGTCTGAGGTGTCGCGCGAAGGAGGGCCAGTCGAGACAACGGCGGCCCTCCCTGGCATTTTTCGTCCTCCTTATGCCTCCCGAGTGCTTCTTGTCGCCACAGTTGGATCCGCTTCAAACAACGTGTCAGGATGGACCCCAGGAGGGGTCCAGGGATTAATTCGACGCAGATGTTTGACCGGGGTGGAGAGTCGCTGCTGTCTCAGGTGACCTTTCTCTGAGTATCAACGCCGTCTCCTTGTCTTCAGCGTCTATCTCTCCTCCTCTTCCTTCCTTCCTTCCTTCCTCAATGTTCCTCCTTCTGCTGCTCCTCCTCCTCCTTCGCTGTCCTTTCTCCTCTCGGTTTTTTTTTTGGCATTACCCCCCAATCCCTGCAGCGTTATTTATCAATTATAAAGGATGCATTGTTGCTCCTATCCTTCTCTCCTCCCGCCTCCTCCCCTCTTTCTTGTGCCTCCTTACTTCTCTCTCGGCCCTCTTGTGTTGGGTTCTCAGTTGGGACCGAGCGCTTATATTCATTCCTCCTTCTTCCATCGTCACAGTTTGGGCTCTTGGTTGAGCTACTGGGACCACCGTGCGCAACCTCCGTGGGGGGGGCAGGGGATAGGGCACCCCTTCAGCAGTGAAACGGGAGGCTCCTGTGGAGAAGCCGGCTGGCACCCTGAGCCACATACGCCCAGAGGTCTACCGAATGGCAACAGAGCGGTGGTCCCCCACAGAGGAGCGTGAGCACCTCCACGCCCCCGTCCTGCTCAGGCTGGCCCGCCGGACCGTCGACGTGGTCCATGAGTTCATCGTGGCGTCGCCGTACGTTGGGGGCTCAAAGGGGTGTAAGGCATGAGGGGGCGAGCCAGGGGCAGGTTTTTGGACGCTTTCGTCGGTTCTCGGAAGTTTCTTGGCCTCGGGATGCCTTTCAGCAGCTTCGTCTCGCCGAGAGCGCACCTGGGGTGCTCGCATCGTCCCAATCGGCCGCCGAAGACTTGATTCATGTCCCAGACACAAGGCAGACACCGCTACCCTCCCTTAGTTTTCGCGCTTGTGGGCCTCCTGGGAGGCCCTCGTCGCCACGGCTGGATTCGACTCGAGATTCTGGTCGGAACGCTCCGCGGGAGTGGTCAGGGGAGAGTATCTTTGTTGTTTATTCAGTGAGGCAGGGGAGTGGCCCGAGTTGCCAACCCCCTCGATCCCCTCTCCAAGATCTGAGAACGCTGGGACAGAAGGGGGCTACATTAGTATCGTTTAACCTGTCCCCATCCCCAGCGGGCCCCGGTTTCTCGGCCCCCCACTTGGGGATAGGCCCCTCGAAATCCAAAGAAACCAGCTCACATCCCCGTCCAGGGCGGCACATCGGCCAGTAGGGCCCAGGCCACGCCAGTGAGGACAGGTCATCGCGAACACGCGGCGCTCAGACGTGCGCGGGGGGGGGGCGGGCTGCTTTTCCTCTGTGCTTGAGTATGCGTGCCTCGCCACTGCTCCGAGAGGGTCAGCAGCCTGCCTCCACCGTCCGGCTGGCCGGCGCTCGCGCGCGCCCGCGGTACCGACGACCGGCCGGCGGCCGGGCCCAGCCCGCAGCGACTCTGCGAGTGTGCGCGGGCGTCCAGGAGGAGGAGGAGGAGGAGGAGGAGGAGGAGGTGGAGGAGGAGGAGGTCGAGGAAGAGGAACAGGAGGAGGAGGAGGAACAGGAGGAGGAGTAACAGGTGGAGGAGGAACAGGAGGAGGAGGAACAGGAGGAGGAGGAACAGGAGGAGGAGGAGGAACAGGAGGAGAAGGATGACGAGGAGGAGGAACAGGAGGAGGAGGATGAGGAGGAGGAGGATGACGAGGAGGAGGAACAGGAGGAGGAGGAGGAGGAGGAGGAGGAGGAGGAGGAGGAGGAGGGGAGGGGGCAGACGTGTGCGGGGGTCTCCACGGTCCCTCCCAGGTACGGGGGCGGGCGGGAGCCCCTCCTCCCCGACGGCGGCGCGCGGGCGGACCCCGCGGGCGCCGCGGCCGACGGCCCCGGACACGGAGGGCACGACGGGTCGGAGGAGCTCAGCTGGAACGCCACCAAGTGCTTCGCGGACGCGGTGCTGCGCAGGACCATTAGAGGAAAGAGAGCTATGCTTAAGTCGGGCCTGTCCCCCTCCAGGGGGATTTTCGACGAAGAAGAAAAAATACCCCAAAAATAGTCCAAACATAGTCCCAAAATAGTCTGGGGACTATTTTGTTTAGTATGTTTTAGCTCTTTTGGGGCATTTTTGGTGTATTTTTAATTTTTCGTCGAAAATCCCCCTGTAGGGGGACACGCCTCACATAACCTTTAGAGGAAAGAGAACTATGCACATACACCGATTCTGGCCAGGCCCAACCCTGAGCCCAGGATCGGTGCATACGCCGTCTTACCTTGGCCAGGAAGGCATATGCACCGATCCTGGGTCAAGGATGGGCCTTGCCAGGATCGGTGCACGTGCACAGTTCTCCTCGCCCGAGACTCGAGAAGCAGAAGCCGGCGCACATCAGCTCTTCTGCGTGTGGTCCCTCCCGAGAGCCTCAGGGGGTCCCAAGGTTCCTCGCAGTTGTTGGGGGGGTTCGCCTGGATGTCGTCTGCTCTTGCCAGCACAAGGACGCAATGACGACGGAATCTGCCCGAGGGGGTTCAGAGGGGTGGTCGAAATCTGGACGACATCCGGTCGACATCGTGTTTATGATGCGGCCGCGGAGGCCTACAGAGGCTCTCGTGGATCGCTCGCCGAGCAACTCTCGGAGGTCCGCGCGGATGTCTTGGGTCGGCGCTGGACCCCCCACCAGGGCGGCACCTCCTGCGCCGTTGGTGGCGCGCTTCGCGCACCAGTGGAGGGTGAGGGTGTCCAGCGACGATCCAAGAAATCCTCGCCGACATCCGAATGTGTCTAGTGGTGTTGTTGTTGCTGCTATTTGTTGTTGCTGTTGCTGTCGTTGGTGTTGCTGTTATTGTTGCTGCTGTTGTTGTGATTGTTGTTGTGGTTGTGGTTGTGGTTGTGGTTGTGGTTGTTGTTGTGGTTGTGGTTGTGGTTGTTGTTGTTGTCGTTGTTGTTGTTGTTAGTGTTGTTAGTGGTGTTAGTGTTGTTAGTGCTGTTAGTGTTGTTAGTGTTGTTGTTGTTGTTGTTGTTGTAGTTGTAGTTGTTATTGTGATTGTTGTTGTTGTTGGTGTTGTTGTTGAACTTTCAGTTCTGAAGAATAATTATTGTTGATCCCCCCTCACCGGTGCATGCCGTTGTTTCTCTTTCAAAGTGTGCCCTTCGACGCTCGCACCTTGCTTTTTGACCGGGGAAGTCTTGGTGCTCAAATTGTGCCCCTGGCCCCCTGGATTACAACAACAACGGCTCCCGCCTGACACTTCCTCCAAATTTTCTCAGGACCCCCGCTCCTGAGACTTCCTCACAATTTACTCAGGATCGGTGCTCCCGCCTGTGACTTCCTCGCAATTCATTCAGGACACCCGCTCCCATCTGAGACTTCCTCACAATTTATTCTGGAACGGCGCTTCCGCTTGAGACTTCCTCGCAATTGAATCAAGACTTCCTCGCAATTTAATCAAGACCCCCGCTCCCGCCAGCGAACCCTTCACATTTTATTCAGGAATTGCGTTCTCGCCGGTGACTTCCATGCAATTTCTTCAGAAATCGCGCTTTTGACGCTCAGGAAACGCTGCGCCAACGACGCCGTTACAATTTACTTAGTAATCGCGCTCTCGCCAAACTCAGGCATCCCGCTTGAATGTCCCACCCGCACGACCCGCCCGTCAGGGGATCGCCCGCCCGTCGTGGGCTCCCGCCCGAGACTTCCTTTAAGAACGGCGTTTCCGCCTAGGATTTCCTGGAACGTTCACGCTCTTACCTTCCTGCTCCTCCTCCCTCTCCCTCCTCCCTCCTCCCTCCTCTCCGCCCTTCTCTCTCCCTCCTCTCTTCCCTCATCCTGATGCCTATCTGCCCTATTCCCTCTCCCTCCTCTCCCTCCTCCCTTCTCCCTCCCCTCTCCTGCCTCCTCCCTCCCTCTTTCTTTCTCTCGCATCTCTCTCTCTCTCTCTCTCTTTCTCTACCTCTCTTATCTGTCTGTCTCTCTCTCTCTCTCTTTTCTCTCTCTCTCTCTCTCTCTGTGCCTCTAATAAACCGCCCCCCTCTTCGCTCCTTCTCTCCTGGCGTTTGCCCTCTTCCTTCGTCCTTCCCCCTCCTTTCCTCCCATTCTCTTTCGTTCTCCCCCTCCTCTTTTTTGCACTGCCCACACCAATTCCAATGGCGGGCACATGTACGCCCACGTAGGATTGTCCGCCCGTTCGGGTTTGCCCGCCTGCCCGCCGCCCCCCGCAAAGAGAAAGAATCCCCCAAAAGGGGGCGCGATCGAAGACGAAGAAGGCGGGTATCGAAGGTGTGGGAACCTGGGAAACTCGTTTTGAATGACACGCGGGCAAATAAGAGCGAACAGTTTTATAATGATTGTTGTTGAATTTTCACTTCGGAAAGATATTTATTGTTGGTCCCCCCCGTCCGGTGCACATTGTTTTTGTTTCGATTGAAGTGCCCTTCCCCGGGCTCGCACCATGTTCTTTATCAGGGAAAGCCTTGCGGGTCAAACTGTGTCGTTGGCACCCGCTTTACAACAACAGCGGCTCCCGCCTGAGACGTCTTCACAATTTAGCCAGGACCCCCGCTCCCGCCCGAGACTTCCTCGCGCTGTATTCAGGAATCGAGCTCTCGCTTGGGACCTCCTTAGAATTTTCCTCCCGTCGCTCTGGGGTCGCGCTCTCGCTGGAGACTTGCTTGCAATCTACTGAAGAATAGCGCCCGTGCTTTGGAATTTCTTGGAATTTACTCAAGCGCCGCGCTCCCGACACCCCTCACAGATTACGTAGGAATCGGGATATCGCTGCCATTCGTGGCCCCGTTGCAGCCCTTCGTGGCCCCCTCGCTTTGTTTCGTGGCCCCGTTGCAGCCCTTCGTGGCCCCTTCGCTGCCCTTCGTGGCCCCGTTGCAGCCCCTCGTGGCTTCCTCGCTGCCCCTCGTGGCCCCGTTGCAGTCCTTCGTGGCCCCCTCGCTTTGCTTCGTGGCCCCGTTGCAGTCCTTCGTGGCCCCTTCGCTGCCGTCCGTGGCCCCGTTGCAGCCCTTCGTGGCCCCCTCGCTGCCCTTCGTGGCCCCGTTGCATCCCTTTGTGGCTCCCTCGCTGCCCTCCGTGACCCCATATATGTATGCACTTCGTGGCCCCCGCTCGTTCGCGCCCGTGGTGGCCCCATATGCATTTGTCCTACGTGGCCCACTTGCTACCCTCAGTGGTCCCATCGTTGCCTTTTGTGGCCCCGCATTATCTGCCCTTCGTGGCCCCCGCTCCTTCGCGTTCTTCGCGGCCCCATACTCATTCCCTTCGTGTCCCCGCTGTTGCCCTTCGTGGCCTGGTTCGTGTCCTTGTGGCCCTGCTGTCGTTCTCTTTCGCTCTCGCTTTCGCTCGTCATCGTCGTCGTCGTCGTCGACGTCGTCGTCGTCGTCGTCGTGGTCGGTCCCCTGTCCGTCCCTCTTGGGGTCGAATCGACGGTCCGCGGCCGCCCCGCCGATCAGCGCTGCCGCTGGCCAGGCCGACGGTCCGCGGCCGCCCCGCCGCTTGCCGGGGCCCGGCCTGCAGGGAAGAAAGGTATACCCCCCAAAAGGGGATCGATCGAAAACGAAGAGGGCGGGTATCGAGGGTTTGGGAAGTACGCGTTATTGGACACTCGAACATAGAAGGGCGAACAGTCTTAAAATGATTGTTGTTGTTGCTGTTGTTGTTGCTGTTGAGTTTTCACTTCTGAAGAATACTTGTTGCTGATCCCCCCTCGCCGGTGCATGCTGTTTTTTCTCAATCAAAGTGTGCCCCTCGACGCTCGCACCCTCTTTTTTGACAGGGAAAGTCTTCCTGCTCAAACTGGCCCGTGGCCCCCGGGTTACAACAACAACAACGGCTCCCGCTTGAGACGTCTTCACAATTTAGCCAGGACCCCCGCTCCCGCCCGAGACTTCCTCGCATTTTATTCAGGAATCGCGCTCTCGCTTGGGACTTCCTTACAACTTATTCAGGGATCGCTCTCCCGGAGCTCTGGAGTCGCGCTCTCGCTGGAGACTTGCTTGCAACTTACTGAAGAATAGCCTTGCGTTGGAATTTCTTGCAATTTGCCCAAGCGCCGCGCTCCCGACACCGAGGCACCCAGGAGTCGCGCCCGTTGTGGCCCCCTATGCCTGCCCTTCGTGGCCCCGCTGTCGCCCTTCGTGTCCCCGTCATTGTCCTACGTGGTCCAGTTGCTGCCTTCACTGGCCCCATAGTTGCCCTCTGTGGCCCCGCGTTCTCTGCACTTTGTGGCCCCCGCTCGTTCGCACTCTTCGTGGTCCCATACGTATTCCCTTCGTGTCCCCGCTGTCGCCCTTCGTGGCCTACTTCGTGACCTTCGTGGCCCTGCTGTCGTTCTCTCTCGCTTTTGCTCGTCGTCGTCGTCGTCGTCGTCGTCGTGGTCGGTCCCCTTTCCGTCCTTCTTGGGTTCGGGTCGACGGTCCGCGGCCGCCCCGCCGATCAGCGCTGCCGCTGGCCAGGCCGACGGTCCGCGGCCGCCCCGCCGCTTGCCGGGGCCCGGCCTGCAGGGAAGAAAGGTATACCCCCCCCAAGAGGGGATCGATCGAAAACGAAGAGGGCGGGTATCGACGGTTTGGGAAATACGCGTTATTGGACACTCGAACATAGAAGGGCAAACAGTCTTAAAATGAGTTTTGCTGTTGTTGCTGTTGTTACTGTTGCTGTCGATGTTGCTGTTGTTGTTGTTGTTGCTGTGATTGGTATTGTTGTTGATGATGTTGTTTATGTTGTTGCTGATGTTGCTGGTGTTGTTGTTGCTGTTGTTGATGTCGTTGTTTATGTTGTTGTCTGTGGTGTTGCTGCTGTTGTTGAACGTGTTGTTGTTGTATTTGTTGTTGTTGGTGGTGGTGTTGTTGTTGTGTTGTTGGTGTTGTTGGTGTTGTTGGTGTTGTTGTTGTTGTTGAACATTATTTCTTCTTAAGAATAATTATTGTTGGGACCCCTGGTGCGCGGCCCCCCCGCCGCGCCTAGGCCGCAGCCACATTTTCATCATTTTCGTGAGGAAGCCTCAAGCAAAACGATGTGGTCCAGATCCGGTTGTTTTGTTGACGCCCGCTTTCCCTTGCAAAAAACACTATAAAATGAAATTTCTTGTTCTAACATATTCAAACTTCAAGAATCCCTTGCAAAAAATAAGGTAAAGTGGACATTCGCGCGCGCAAGACGAAATCCTTCCAAAACCTTAGTTTTCGTAGCGATTTTAACCTACAAACATCAAAAAACCAATTGTTTTTCAAAACAAAAAAAATATCGAAATTTCATCCCGCGCGCTCTTGCGGACTCGTAGGAAACCCAACACTTTTTAAACATTTCTGTCAAGCGGGCTTTTGCGAGCAACTTTTTCGAACTTCTGCAACAACGGTTGCGCACCTGCCAGGGCCATCATCCCTGTCAAATAATACCATGCGGGACACATTCGTTTTTTCTTCGCGCGCGCACGCCGTCGTCGTCGGCCGCGGGGCCCTGAATAGTAGCCACGGTCGTCCGCATGCCACGAAGTGAAGTGTCCGAACGTCATAGGGCGGGAAGCTGGGTGTGGGTGGTGGCGAAGAGTCGTTTGGAAATTTGGTAGAGCTTGAACCGGCCCCCCCACAAAGTGGGGGTATTGCCCGCCTCCTATGAAAACCCTGGCACTGGTGAGAACGGAGTGTCCCCACGTGCTAGTAATTGTTGTTGTTGTTGTTGTTGTTGTTGTTGTTGTTGTTGTTGTTGTTGTTGTTGTTGTTGTTGTTGTTGAACCTTAATTACTAAACAATTATTATTGTTGGACCCCCTATATTCGCCCTGGCGCTCTCGCCGAGGCGCCGGCCGCATTTCCTCTGAAATTGAGGCTCACGCTCAGGCGTTTTGGGGTTCCGCCAAAACCGGCCCCCCAACAACAACAACGCTCCGGCTCGAGACTTCCTCCTTTTTTACTCGGGCTCGGTGCTCTTGCTCGCCGCCGAGAGCGGCTCCCGGGCCGGACGCCCGGGTCGGCGCCCGAGCCGGCGCCCGGGCGCCGGAAAATCGAGTTCCGAGGCGGCGCCGAAAAAAGGCCATTCCAATGCACATTTTTCTTTCGAAAATGCTGAATTTCTGCTTCCGGCGCCCGGGAAGCCGTCCTGGGCCGATTCTCGAGCGGCTTTGGACCGGACGCCCGAGCCGGCGCCCGTACGTGGTGTTTCTCTGCTTTTGGCGCCTGCGCAGCTTCCCGAGCCGCTTCTGGAACCATATCTGGGCCGGTCCAGCGATAGGTTTCCTGGATGTGCTGAACCATCCAACTTTTTGAGACTTCTGCGTCTCAAGGATAGGGAGAGAAGACATTAAAGGAGGATCAAAAAGCAACGTCGCTATGAACGCTTGGCTGCCACAAGCCAGTTCTACTTACTTGGACTACTACTACCGTTACCACTACTACTAGTGCTACAACCGCAACAACAATATCACCAACTGCTGCTACTACAACTACTCATCCTTCCTCCCCCTCCTCCCCCTCCCTTCTCCTCCTCCCCCTCCCTATCTCTCTCATCTCCCCCTCCTCTTCCTCTTCCTCTCCCTCTGAGATGCGGGGCATGCGCAAGGCGATTGCGAAGGCGATGTGCCGTCCGAGCTATGGATGTTGAAGTTCCTCGGAAGAGGTGGTGGCCAAACCTTCTTGGGCGGGATATCTGGGTGAGGGAATATCGGATCCCGCATGCCAGAAAAATCCCCCATGATGGGGTGTGTTATCCAGATGGATGCATGTGTCATGTGGAAGCATGGCGCATGAGGGTAAAATGATTGTTGTTGTTGTTGTTGTTGTTGTTGTTGTTGTTGTTGTTGTTGTTGTTGTTGTTGAACATTATTACTTCTAAAGAATAATTATTGTTGGGACCCCTGGTGCACGCCCCCCCCGCCGCGCCTAGGCCGCAGCCACATTTTCATCATTTTCGTGAGGAAGTCTCAGGCAAAACGGGTTGGTCCAGATCCGGTTGTTTTGTTACGATCCCGTTTTCCCTTGCAAAAAATAAGCTAAAGTGGACATTTCTTGTTCTAACATAACCAAACTTCAAGAATCCCTTGCAAAACATAAGGTAAAGTGGACATTCGCGCGCGCAAGACGAAATCCTTCCAAAACCTTAGTTTTCGTAGCGATTTTAACATACAAACATCAAAAAACCAATGGTTTTTCAAAAAAAAAAATGTCAAAATTTCATCCCGCGCGCTCTTGCGGATTCGTAGGAAACCCAACACTTTTTAAACATTTCTGTCAAACGGGCTTTTGCGAGCAACTTTTTCGAACTTCTGCAACAACGGTTGCGCACCTGCCAGGGCCATCATCCCTGTCAAATAATACCATGCGGGACACATTCGTTTTTTCTTCGCGCGCGCACGCCGTCGTCGTCGGCCGCGGGGCCCTGAATAGTAGCCACGGTCGTCCGCATGCCACGAAGTGAAGTGTCCGAACGTCATAGGGCGGGAAGCTGGGTGTGGGTGGTGGCGAAGAGTCGTTTGGAAATTTGGTAGAGCTTGAACCGGCCCCCCCACAAAGTGGGGGTATTGCCCGCCTCCTATGAAAACCCTGGCACTGGTGAGAACGGAGTGTCCCCACGTGCTAGTAATTGTTGTTGTTGTTGTTGTTGTTGTTGTTGTTGTTGTTGTTGTTGTTGTTGTTGTTGTTGTTGTTGTTGTTTGGTCCCCTCAGGACGCCGCTGAGATCGGAGCCGGGGCCGGGGCTCGACGCCCATGGCAGTCCCGAGGTGGTGGATTGGCCAGCCCTCGCCGGGAAACTGTGCGGGCTACTGGGCGGGAAGGTGGTCAGCACCGACGGGATGCCGATGCGTTTCGAGCGCGCTATCAGGAGGTCGGGTGACGACCTGGACGACGACGGCATGGTGGTGGACCTGCCCGCCCTGCTGGAGGGCCCCGCCTGCTGGAGTGCGCCATAGTCCTGCAGCCCGCCACGAAGAGGGCTTCCTCCACTCCCTCCCTCACCACCCGTTCAACTCTCCCCTCTTTGTCCCCTCGTCCTCCGTCCTCTATACCCCTACCGCTGCACCCTCCCGCCTGCCAGCACCTCCGGTCGGCAACGCTTGGTGAGCGTGTCGCTCCGCTCCGCCGGTTGTGGCCCTCTGTGCTTCGGCGCAGCACGCCAACCACGCCCTGGTCCCCTGAGCGTCAGCATCCAGAGACTTTCGAAGCTTCCCGCCCCGCGGAGCGGAGCGACACGCTATTTGCTCGCAGGTTACAGCGTGTTGCCGGGGCCACCACCTTTGAGCAGCACGCTGAGCAAAAGTTCCTGCCCGTAATCACCTCCACCACGCATCTGCACCTCTGCCTCCCCACCGTTTCCGCCTCAGCCAGCCGCCACACAGCACTGCTGCCACCACTCGCCACCTTCCTTTCTGTCCCCGTGGTAGCGGAGCGGATGATCGGGACGAGGAGCGGCAACCTTGAACCTCGGTCGTGGAGGGACAGAGGCGACGTTCCGCACCTCATTTGGTCTTTTGCTGGCCATCCGGCGGGAGCTCGAGTCCTCAGTAAATTAGCCAGGAGGTCTCGTGCCGGAGCGCGATTCCTGGGCGCCGAGCGCAGTCAGTCAGTCAGTGGCCGTGCATCCTGTGGGAACCGAGCGCAGCGCCTGGGTAAATCGCGAGGAAGTTTGAGACGAGAGAGCGATTCCGATGTAAGTTGCAAGGTAGTCTCGAGCGAGAGCATTCATCTTGGATTAACTATGAGGAATGCAGATGTGAAGATCGTGGTTTCTGTACTTTGAGGACCAGGGGCGCAGTTTGAACATTACTACTTTCCGTGACAAAGTGCTAGGTGCGAGCCCTCGGGGATTTCAGTCAGAAGACAAAGCGGACAACGGCGATGGAGGGGCAGCACCTTTTCTTTTGTATAAGTTTGAGTTCAGCGATCTGAAGACTGTTTTCTCTTCGATGATCGTGTGTCATTCCACATGCTTTCCCCAAGCCCTCGATGCCTGCGCTCTCCGTCTTCGATCGTATACCCTTTGAGGCATGCACGTGTTGCCTGCCAAGTGTTGCTGGTGCTGCCCCTGAACGGAGGACGCATGATTTAAACAGCGAGGGAGTGAGGAGAGGAGGCTGCGAGAAGGGTGTGTGTGGGGGGGGGGCAGGAGGGATGCGTGAATAGTGAACGCGAACAGGATCTACCTGGCAGGCGACAAGGGAGGCGCAGGGAGATTGGCAGGATCCTGCCGGGCGGGCCGGGCGGGCGGACCCAGCGGACGGGTCGGGCCGGCGGCCCCTGCCGGGCGGGCCGTGCGGGCGGGGCGTACTGGAGCGGGCCCGGCGGGCCTCCGCGGGAGCAAGCGGGCGGACCCCACGTGGGTACCAGGCGGGCGAGGCGGGCGGGCCCCTGGCGGGCGAATCGGTCAGGCGGGCGGGCCCCGCGGCCTGGTCGCAGGGGCGGGCCTCGACGAGCGGGCCGTGGGGTTCATCACAGCCAGCGGGCGCGCGTTCAAGCCTGCGAGCGGGCGGACCCTGTGGACGGGTCGGCTGGGCGAACCCTGCCGGGCGGATCGGGCGGGCGGGCCTCCACGGGCGGGTCGGGCGGACTGGGCATTGAAGGGCGGCGCAGACTTGTTCATTTTTCAGATGGGAACACGACTTCTGAGTACTACTTATCAGGAAGTCATGTGCGAGAGCGCGACTCTTAGGCGCCGAGAGCGCACTTTCTAGGTAGTTGCGAGGAAGTCTCAGGCGACAGCGCGACTCCCATGTAAGCTACAAGGCAGTCTTGAGCGAGAGCGCCTTTCCTGAATACAGTGTCAGGGTGCTTCAGGCGAGAGCCGTTGTTGTAGCCTGTGGGCCAGGGGCGCAGTTTGAGCATCAAGACTGTCCCCAGCAAAACAAGGTGCGAGCCCCAGGGGGACTTCATTTACAAAACACAGTGGGAGCCGGTTGGGGTGATCTTACATAGTCATTCGAGAGGATTACGCATTTCGCTGGCCCCCGTAACCGTGAATTCGTCACCAGTCGTGCCACCGTGTCTGGCCTGTGGGTCAGGAGCCTCGGGGGTGCATATGAGGGTCTCTTGGGCTGCCCGCTCGGGGACCTCTGAGAGGGCTCTCGGGGCATTTTGTTGGCTTCGGGGGGGCCCTCGGGGGCCTCTTGGGTAACTCTTGGGTGTCTCTTGGACGTCTCTTGGGGCCTTTTGGGGGTACCCCAGGGGGTCTTTGGGGGGGCTCTTGGGGCCATCACGGCGTGCAGACTCGAGATGTTAGTTCGTATTGCCTCTCTTAGGGTCCCTCCTGGGTCTCGGGGCCCTCTCTCTTGGCCCTCTTGGTGTCCTATTGGGCCGTCTTGGTGCCCTCTTGGTCTGAGCTCATGGGCCGTCTTCGGACGATCTTGGGGGCTCCTTGGGCCGTAGTGGACGTTGCCAAGCCGAAGAAGGCGTGTCTGAAGAACATGCAGTTCTCCTACGGGAATGGGGCTGCTTTTGCCTCTTGGGGACCTCTCGGCGGCCCTCTGTGAGCACTCGTGGGCCGTTCTTGGGAACCTCGCAGGCCATCTTGAAGCCATTCTGGACCGTCGCGGCGTTATCCTGGGCCGTCTCGATGCTCTCTTGGATTGTTTCGGCTCTCAGCGGACTGCCTTGATCCAGAGAGCCCCCGGGGTGCGTTGGCGAACTCGTACCCCCCCCCCGCCCCCCCCCCCCGCGCCACAGGCCCCCTCCAACCTGCTCCCCCCCACCCCCACCCCCCTACACCTCGAATGCGATTTTGGCCCGAGGGCAGGGAGAAGGCTTAAGAAGAATGGCTCAAGGAAAGAGGGGGAGCGGCGACGGCGGCGGCAGCGACGACGACGATGAGTCAAACGAAACAGCGTCTCGCACACGCCGATAGGTTCGGCGGATGTTTGGCCGAGGGGGAGGGGGAAAGGGGGAGGGGGACAGCCAATGCCAATTCGCTCACACATCTCGTCACACCCACGGCCGGCGGGGTCGGCGCATTGTTTATTGTTCAGAAGTGGGCGTTCAAAAACACTACACACTAACACTCGCGCACGCACACACACCAGCACATTCACGCAAGCACATACACGCAGACATATACACACAAACACACGCACACAACACTTCCTCCGCCAGCAATATGGCACCCAGGGTTTTGATTCTACCCAGCATGGCAGATGAAACAGAGGCCGAATTGCGTTGACAGGGACGCTGGTCGATGCGCAAATGCGCGCTGCTGGAGAGCTACATCGACTGGGGGAGATCCGTCTCAGGTGGGAAGACAACGCGCCTACCGCTGAGGGGACAGTGCGCGTGCAGCGCAGCGGCCAAAGTGTGCAGCCGCAAGCGGCGGGTGCGCAACCAGTGGAGCCGCGCACAACCCAGAGTAGCCCACACGGCGCGGGCCCACAGAGGAAAGCCAGAAGCAGGGCAGCGGGTAGTTCCCCGGCCAAGCTTCAGAGTAACGTTGAGGGGAATAGGCCCAGGGGCGGACGCGTTGACCCCAATCGCCCATTCATCACCGGTAGGAGCCCGAGAGCTTGCGCTCCCCAGGAACGTGCGGTTTCGCTATCGGGGCCCAACGCCGATCTATCCCCGATCTATCCGGGGCCGATTGCCTTCGCTATCGGCCTATCCCGATTCAAGGTCGATGTTTCCTCACGCTCCCCCGTCGAGCCTGGTAGAGCGACCCCAGAACAAAGAGTGGACGCAGGCCGGCGAAGAAACGGGGGACGTGGAAGGCCACACACATAGAAGGACGGAGGCGACGAACCGCCCAATCCGCCCTTCGGCGGCGGGCCTCAAGCCGCGGCGCCGACCCTCGCAGCTCTGGCGGGCACCCGAAGCCAATCGCAGGCCGAGGCGGAGGAGGGCGAGCAAGACGCCGGGGGAGCGAGGAGGACGACGCGGGGAGCAGGCGAGGCAGGAGCGAGGCTGCCGGCAGGCCATCGCGGCGGGACGCGCCCGCCCAGGCCAGCCAGGCAGAGCGACCACCACACAGCTCATCGTCGTCGTCGTCGTCGTCGTGGCAGCTGGTTGAGCGAGCGGCTGGACGGCCCTCCCCGATGCTCGGAAATCGGGCGAGCGGGACTGGAGGGCGAGGGGGCTCTCGAGAGGAGAGCGCCCCAAGAACGCGCGAGAGGCCCCCGCCCAGGCTGGCCTGGCCGAGCGACCACCGCACACCCCAGGAGATCGCATGGGTGCCAAGTGCCGACGAGGGTGCAACCAGGCCGTTGCGTGTGCGCACCGAACTTGTGTGATTATGTGTGTGTGTGTCTAGGGGAACAAAAAGTGACATAAACATATAAACTCGGAGGTCCGCGCGGATTCCTCGGATCGGCGCTGGACCCCCCTCCCTGGCGCGCGGAGCGCGCCAGGGGCGGCGCCGGAGGCGCCGCTGGGGGGCCCAAGCGCCGATCCGAGAAATCCGCGCGGACCTCCGAGTTTTTTTGTTCGCGCTCATCCGCTGCCCTGCCGGCTCAGGTGTTGACATCGAGGTTCTCTTCGCATTAGGGGTCGGGGGGAAGAAAGGCCCGGTCTCATTCAAGGCCAATTGGGGCGCAAATCCCAGGGAAAAAAAATTGTCTTTGAGTGTGTATGTCACACGCTTTCTCGTTGGAGCGGAGTTCGCCGCCTCGCCGCTGACGGACAAAGTGTATGTCACGCGCTGCAATTTGGCACGGGCCAAGTGAATCGCCCCCCCAATAGCCTTGCGCACGAAGCAGCAGCCGTGTAGCGCGCGTCACAAAACAAGCTGACAAGGTCTTCCCCTGGGGAGAAGCCCTCTATCGTCATCATGCGACGGATCTCGAGTTGGGTTGGCTCTCTGATCCTTCCCTTTCTCGCGCAAGAATGGCCGCGGCGTGGCGGGTCGCGAGATCCGCTGCACAGGGGCGCGCGTTGGCTGCTGATACAATCAAGACGCTGAAATCAGTACCAGTTTGGATTCGGAAGGGGCTCGATGTTCCTTGAGCCATTCCGCGGTTGTTCTTCTAGCCCTCCTCGTGCACTTAGGCTTTTCTGGTGTCAAGCAGGGGCTTCACTCCTCAGCGATCCGTCTTGCAGCAGCCCGACTGTGCTGCACGTCGTCTGGCAGGAAGCCATAGTGCCCCCGCCAGCAGAGGTCTCGTGCCCGCTAGGCGACACCGAGCGAGCACCGACCACCGAGCGTACCAAATCCAGGGCCTCACCGGACCCACAGGCCTGTTTGGAGGCGTACATGCCGGACCCACATGCCAGCCGCGGCGGCGTCCCGGCATCAGATCGAACCGTCATCTCTGGCCAACCTATTCTCCAGTTCGCCACCCAGGTGCTTCATACGTGAGCAGCAGCGCAAGAAGACGGACCCCCAATGCGCCTCATTCGTACATGTCGGTCCTTTGTTTTGTTCTATTGAGCATTTTTTATACCTTGGTCCATTAGTCGCATATGTATATATACACGAATAACCGACCAGAGTTATAAACACTTGCAGTATATAGCGATGCAAGTGGCGATGTTGACGGTTATATTGCGGCGACGGTTATGATGGTGATGATGATGATGTTGATGTTGTTGATGTTGTTGTTTCGGATGATGATGATATTTGTTATAATAGAATGCTGGTGATGAGGATTATCAGGATGAGGATGAGGATGAGGACGATCTTACGAGTTTTGATGATGATGCTGATTATGATAATAATGATGCTGATGTTTATGATGATGACTGTTGAGATATGGGCGTTGATTATGATGATGACGACGATGAGGTCGATGACAATGATGAGGATGAGGACGAGAAGGAACATGTGGACCTGGACGATAATGGCGACGATGACGATGATAAGTATGACATTGCTAATGATAGCGATGATGTTGATGTTGATGATGATCGGGATGATGATGATGATGATGATGATGATGATGGTGATGATGGTGATGATGATGATGATGCTGATGATGATGGTGATGGTGATTATGATGATGATGATGATGATGATGATGATGGTGGTGGTGGTGGTGGTGGTGGTGGTGATGATGATGATGGTGGTGGTGGTGATGATGATGATGCTGATGCTGATGTTGGTGATGGTAATGATGATTGTGATGAAGTGGTGATGGTGGTGGAGGAGGACAACGGTGAAGAGAAACAGACACATGATTCAGAAGGGCATAGGGATGGCTGGTGGCGCTCCAGAGGAGAACGAGGAGAGCAGCATTGGGCATGGCGGGGCGATGGGAGTACATATGATGTTGCCGATTGGGAGAGCGGGAATACTCTTTGGGGGAATAGGGACGATTGCGATGATGATGGCAAGGCGATGGCGGCAGGATGATGTGTATGATATTTGTGGTGATGAGGAAGACAAGCAGGAGGACTTGGAGGATAGCAGCGAACACGAGGAACAAGAGGCGGATAACGACGATTATCAACGCACACAAAACGATGAGGATCAAGATAGGATGCGCTTAGCAACAATTGTTTCATGATGGGGGTGGAATAGATGCTGAACCAGCAGAAACATGATGATGTGGGAAGGCGGACGAGGGAGGAGGAAGGGGGAGCAGGGAGGAGAGGATGGGGACGATAGAAGAGCACGTTTTGGGGTCAGTAGCAGTCCGCGCGCGCCGAGTGCCACCGCCGACAGAACCATACCCTGCGCGCATCACCCTCGTTGCCCCGCCTCCGCCACCACCCTCGTCCCCGTCGGACGAGAAACCCGTTCAGAGTCAGCCCCTGGAGCCCTCCCAAGGCCGCCAACAAAACGAATCGGGGGATGATAGACCTCCTACCCTGACACGTCGATTAGCGAATTGACCGTTTTCGGTTCGCGTGAGGACGTCGCGGCCGTTATTTTTGCGGGTCCAGGTCCGTCGGTTTCGGTCCCAGGCCGTTTTCATTTAGGGGAGGTTTACTAAGGGGAGGTTTGTCCACCGCCGAACGAAGATGCCGCAGTCGCCGCTGCGGCCGCCGTCGCCCGCCACGACCCTCTCGCCACCAGCCGCCGCCGCCCGCCATCGCCGCCACGACCGCCGTCGCTGTCGTCGCCGCCGTCGCCGCCGCCGCCTCCCGCAGCCGCCGCCTCCCGCTGTCGCCGCCACAGCCGCATTCGCTGCTGGCGCTGCCGGCGTAGCCGCCGCCAGCCGTCGCCGCGCCTCAGGTGCCGAGGAATTTGGCGCGCCAGGGCCGTCCGCCGCGCTCCCAGCACCCTGGGCGCCCGCGGCGCCGCCTGCCGCGGTCCAGGAGGCCTCGCGACCGGGCCCATTTCGGTCTGGTGCGGCTCGGATTCGGCGTCGACGGCGGCCTGCCGGATCCGATTCGATCCCGAGCAGCCGGCAGGTAACGTGGTTCAGAACAAACGGGATTCAGCCCGAGTGATGGATTTTGCAGGATCCTGCAAAGCCCGATCTCGGCTGAGCCATTGAGGTTGGGGGAGCCGCTGGAATTGGCCTTACATACTGGCTGAGTCGGGTTTGGGGAGCCTCTGAGCAAATGCAGTGCAGTTTGTTCTACATTAGCTGAGCCGGGTTAGTCCAAGCCCGTCTGATATTTCGTGCAGAAGCATCGGCAATGGATTCCAACGAGAACGCTACATCTTGTCGAAGAGTGGAATCACCGTAGAATTATTGGGCAGGGGCAGAAGTCGTGAAAGGCCTGAACACACATATACAATTTTCGGCACCGGGCGAAAGGGAGCACGGCTGGAAGAAACAAGAACATAAAAAGGTTGGCAAGCCGATCGGTCATTCCAGAAAGGGTGCCCGATGAAATATTGGCGTCTATGGGATACACAGGGCAATGTAGGTGACGCAAAGGTGCGAACCGAAGCAAGCACATTGTCTTACAAACAAGCACACGGGCAATTGGAAATACGCCATGACGCAGAACAGCTTCCCAAGTTAGCAGAGGACAGCGGCTTCTTATCCATCGAAGTTGGTAGCAACAAGTAATTGGACGAGGTTCGACAAGCGGTCAGACGTTTCGAACATGCAGAAAGCAGCTAGGATTTAATGAGTACCCTCTGATTTATGACACGCGCTATGGGGGAGTATATATATACAAATATACACACCTACGCCTACATATACACATACATGCATACATTCATTCATACATGCATACATACGCACATGAATACATACACCTGTATACGTAGTATACATGAGTTGTACGATAATGGCTGGCAGCGGAATGACATACCAGAGTTTTGGCGAGAAATGTCAGTTGCATCGATACCCAAGACAGGCTATACCTTCGTGCCATGCAACTACAGGCCCATATCTATCTTGGCGGTGGGTTACGAAGTTTTGGCCACCATAAGGATGCATCTGTTCAAGACTGGAGGGAGTGTCGATGAATCACGAGAGTGTCAGTGTGCATTCCGGCTTGCATGGGGCACCAGCGGCGCATGATTGTTTTTGCGAAGACACTTTGATGGTGTTTTGGAATGCGACATGTCAAGGTATCGATGTTGTTTGCCAGCTTTGGTTGACGCTAGTGGGCTCTTCATACAAGCAAAGCTATTGTTCGCGTTTCGCCATTTTGGAGTACCGCCCGACATGCGGATCACGATTGCTGCAATCTACAAGGATCGCAAGCTTGTCAAAGATGGGACAAGTGCTTCCTCGCAGAAGGCCCATCTGGCAGCTGGCATGACTTGCAAAAGGTTGTGCTCTATATTCCTGTTTGCTTGTTATCGTTAAGGCGATGCCATTCGAGGCCGCCGGCAACAATCTTTACGCAGCCGTGCGCCTTCAGAACAAACAGAACAAGCCGCATGTGGTCACCAATGGTCTACGAGGACGACGCAATGCTGTTGGCTCAGTGTCCGGAGCCCTTTCAGAGACATCTCAGTATCGTGACAAGCGTTGGGAATTCTTTTTGGCTTAATGAGAACGCAGGAACAAGCGCACTGCGATTTGAAAGTGCATTCGGATGCAGCTCCATCACATTCAACGTTGTTTATTTCGGTGGTCTTCCTAGCGCAGACGCTCGGACTAAGGTTAAAGTGTTGCGCCGTCTCGAGAAATCAAACCAGTTTCTACCAAATGATGTGATGTCTGGAGCCATGCAATCATGATCAGGCGATGAGCGCTGCAGGTGCATTTTTTCTCCAAGCGTGCTATTGTGGGCAAGCAAAAGCATTTTGGATAGATTTCGAGCCAAGTGCTTCCGCTAAGCATGTGCTATTCAGTCGGTAACTGCTTGTATTTGTCATACACAATGCGTGCGCGGGGCTTGAAGCAGAAACGCTTCCATTGTCAATTCTAGAGTTCGGTCTGTTGGGAGAGCACTTTAGAGATACGATGGTAAAGTAGCAAGGGCACCTTCGCAACCGCTGCCAGAAGCGATGATGTTGCAGCCGCGCCAGGTGCATTCTTTGACGTCGCGGAATGGTGCTGGAAGCCGCGCTTGCAATGGACCAAGCACATGAGCGCCCGAACGCTGAGTGTCACAGGAGACGGCCCCGACCGCCTGCAGATGTTCCCCAATCAGTGCTTGCATTGAAGGGGTCCCCGCGGAAGTTGAAAGATTTGGCGAAAGTTCCGCGCCGATTTTGGTGGCAGGTTGGGTTCCAGGTTCACGGGTTCCCGGTTCCGCGTTCCGGGCCGATCTCGGAGGGCGGCGAGGTTCCCAGGTTCCCGGGTTGTTGGTCGATTTTCTTATCGATCGGTCTCACCATCGATCTCATTACCGATTTCTCGATCGATCTCACCATCGATCTCACAATCGATCTCATTATCAATCTCACAAGCGGTCTCACTAGATATCGCATGAAGGATCTCACGATCCCACTCTCGGTCTCACGATCGACTTTACAATCGTCCTCACCATCGATTCCACTATCGATCTCGTTATCGATCCCACAATCGATCTCAAGATCCACAGCATCAATTTTCAAAGCATCCACCGGCTGGGTTTTCTCAGGTGATACGAATCCCGCGGAGTGGGGTGCAGCTGTCAAATAATGCCGTAGGCATTCAGCGTGGCTGTTGTGAGTTCCCTCGCTCTGCCCTTTCGCTCCCCTTCTCACTCTCCCCTCCCCGGCTCCCCCGCCCCCCCTCTTGAGACGGGGTGTTGTTGCTTAGCCTCGCGCGCCTCTTGCGCTGAGCTTGCGAGTGGTTGCTGGGCGAGGCTCGGTGACAGTCCTACCGCGTGCACCTACGCGTGTCTTGCCGAAGGCACCGCCAGGGCCCGGTGCTTTGCCTGCGTACGCGACTACATATTCCGAGGATCGGATGCGGCCCGATACCTGGGAGGCTCCGTTTCAGGAGGAAAAAAAAATGCAGACACAAGTAAATCGTCGATTCCCCAGAAAATATTGGAAATATGGGCAGTGGGGGGCAAGACGAACCCCCAGAAAATATGCGAAAATATTAGGATTCCGGTTATTTGTGTGTATTTATTTGTGTGTCCCAGGGTCCCTTCACCGTTGCGTGTCCTTGCGCAGCCGATCCGATTCGACTTCGTGCCCGTGCCGACGCACCCCGATCCGAAGCGCGTGTCGGTTCGATCCGGCTTCCCAATTCGAGCCAGAGGCGTCGTCCTCATGTGTTCCGTGACGTCTTCTAGTTCTTGGGAAACCAAAAAGGTACCGATACCGCCACTCCCTGGACCTCTCTGGAGGTGCGTCCTGACCAGGATTTCGAGGCGAATCCAGCGGTGGTGACGAGGGCCTCCCAGGAAGCCCGAAAAGGGGAAAACGGGCGGAGAGTAGATGTATGGGTACCTTTTCCTCCTTCGAGCTCTGTCTCGTCTGCCTGCCCTCGGTTCCCGGTCCTTCCCTCTGGCGAGGCCCTTCAGCAGCCGCTGGACGCCACGCAGCCCTCGCCGCTGGGGGCCGCCCGCGTGGCCTCGGCCGAAGCGCAGCGCCCGGGCACCCCCAAGGAGGAGGCCCCACAGGGGGCGGCTTCCTGGGGGGGCAGGGGGAGGAGGAGGAGCCTCCTCCCTCTCCTCTTCCTTCCTCTTCCTCCCTTTCCTCCTCCTCCTTCTCCCTCCTCCTTCCTCCTCCTGCTCCTCCTCCCTGCTCCTCCTCCTCCTCCTCCTC